ACGTGCATTGATTCCAAGGGCCTCGATGTATCACTGTTAAGAACACAGAGCCCCTAGCTCGCATCGATGACCTCTTGGATAGGGTGTTGGGGTGTAGGTACTTCACCAAGATAGATACGGAGTTCGTGTACCACCAAATACAGATTAGACATGAGGACTAGCACAAAACCGCATTTCAGGCCAGGTACAGTTTGTATAAGATTGTGGTGATGCCTTTTGGCCTACGTAATGCCCCTTGTACATTCCAGCACGTTATGAATATGACTTTTCATGACTACGTGGACAAGTCCATCATCATGTACTTTGACGATATACTTATCTTCAGTAGGACTCTCCAGGAGCACGCGCAGGACTTAGATATCGTGCTAGGACTTATTCGACAACACAAGTACAAGATTAAGCTGGAGAAATGAGAGTTTAGTCACACCAGGATCTTGTACTCGGGTCAAGAAATTTCCACGGATGGTCTGAGGCCGGAGGATGGGAAATTGGCTAGGATTAAAGACTGTCCACGGCCACAGTCTGTGACTGAGGTTAGATCATTGTCGGGGATGATGGGCTACTATCGTCCGTTCGTAAAGAACTGTAGTATAGTAGCAAGCCCCTTGATCAAACAAACCCACCTTGACACCCCTTGGGAGTGGACAGCTGACAGGAGCGTGCCTTTAAGAGGTTGAAGTGCGCTCTGACTCATCATGAAGTACTCAACATCCCAGATCCTGACAAGTCATTTGTTGTAACTGCTGACACAAGCCAATATGGCATAGGGGCAGTACTTCAGCAGCAGGAGAGGACGAAGTTAAACCACTAGTACCTTTGTCGGTTCAAAAATAGTTGGCCTCCGACCTTTCAGGAGGCCGAAATGAAACGGCGCCCGCCGATCAGATTTATGAACATCAGCCGTTGTCGGGTTCGGCCTCCCAAAAGTTCGGGACTAGACCAAACTTTTCAAAAACCGGACGGCAAAGGTACTAGTGGTTTAGGGCCCGTCTAGTACATGAGTAAGAAGATGCCCACTGAAAAGATGGCTAAGTCTACCTACGAGCGAGAGCTCTATGCCCTCTACAAGGCTTTAACCCATTGGAAGCATTATCTCCTTGGCCAACCGTTCGAAGTCAGGCCTGACCATAAGACGATCCTGCGGATCAAAACGCAGGCCTCCCTCTCCGATGTTTTTAAGAGATGGATACAACTCATAGATCTATATGACTTCCGCATCAAGCATCTAAAGGGAGAGTACAACAAAGTGGCTGGTGAGTTATCGCATAGGGCAGACTATCTCGGTGCCTTAGTCACTGAGTACGAGCTCAGTGAGGATGTGCCTCGACAAATGGCAAAAGCCTAGAAGGAAGATGGCATCATGTTTGAAATCATTTGCAGACTCGAGACGCAGGATAAGGCCACGCCAGATATGTTTGTAATGGTCGACGGACTGCTATTTCTTGAGAAGGCAAGGAATAAACGTCTGTGTGTGCCAAATAGAGTCGTTGCGCAGTTTGTCTAAAGTAGAACGTCAGGATGCAACAGGACACTTTGGACACAAGAAGACGTCAACCCATTTAGTTCAGCAATCTTTGTGGTCGACCATACTAGAGGATGCAAAGATGTAGAGACTTGCCAAGTTTGCCGAAGGGACAAACCAGACCCAAGCACCTCTTGGTCTCGTCAAGCCTTTGCCGATTCTTGCTGGTCCAGGACAATGTCTCTCCACGGTCTGCCAAAGGGACAAACCGGACCCAAGCAACTCTTGGTCTGGTCAAGCCTTTGCCGATTCTTACTGGTCCAAGACAGAGTCTCTCCATGGTCTTCATGGTCTTGATGTATGGCCCCCACCTGTGTGCGGACCAAGAGTCTCTCTCTCTCTCTCTCTCTCTCTCTCTCTCTCTCTCTCTCTCTCTCTCTCTCTCTCTCTCTCTCTCTCTCTCTCTC